CAAGACCAGGTTTACCACAATGGATTGTGTGTTCAAGACCAGGATAGAACAAATTTATGAAAAGTTCATAAATTCACCTCCACAAGAGAAGTATTCGGTTGTTAAACCCCAAGATGTTGTTGCAGAATATATTTTGGGGTATAGACTACTTGTCAATGTTGCATGGGATGAAGTTGACTATGTCATAATACCCGTTAATATTAAAGAAAAATTCCATTGGGTGTTGGTCATTTTCGACATTGCAGACAGGTAACTTTATGCGTATGATTCCATGGTCTCTTCACACAACCATCATGTTGTTGAATCCTGTGTCGAAAAGTTTTCTGTTATTATCCCTTTGTATCTGTCATGCACTGGTTTGTATGGGAAGCGTAAGGACATTAACTTCATGAATACAAAGGCATACATCGAGAAATCTGTTACCGACCCTCTTAACATTCAGTGGATAGTTGCATATATTCCACAGCAAAAAGAAGGGTCACTATAAAAGATCTATTCTCTCTTTCTATGCATTTAATTCTTTTTTTATTTCTAATTATTTGGTAAATATTTAAAAAAAATTGTGTTTCTGCAGCGCTTGTGGTGTATTTGTTGCTGCATTTGCGGAGTATGTTAGCCTTGGAGATTTGTCAATTCCCGCAGAAGAATTTTTTGATATTGACCAACATCGTAGACGCTATGGAGCGCTCCTATGGGACTACACTACAAAGAAGCGGGAAGATGGGTCAATCAGTGAAAGTGAGGTTACAGGCAGACTAGCAAGGAGGAAGGGTGCACCTACATTGAATGAGAAAATAAGAGTCCAGAGAAAGAAAAAGTAGTGTCATGTCTATGTAATTTAGTTGATGCTAGTTTGTAGGAGAAGTATAGTACACAACTTTCTGAACATTTCTTTTGTATTTTTATTGTAGCAGACCTTTTGTTTTGTTAATTTCTAACCAGTTTAGTAGTTCACTTGAAAATAACTTGGTGGTTTTATCTCCAGTTGTTTAATATTTACAACACTTGTTCTTCATTATCTTAAAAGTAGTTATTATATTGTTAGAATACAAATTATCTACAAAAAAAACTTCAAATTATCCACAATCTGGAAACATTGAAGGTTGAGATTGTATATAATTTTATAGTTGAATATATATATATATATATATATAATTTGTAGGGAATACCTCCAGTTATATTTACTTTCTTTATATAACTGTCAGTTCAAGTTACATTAATTTTTTTTAACTTGTAGTTATATTGTGGATAATAAATATTAACTGCTATGTACATAATGTAAAAAATGGAGGTAGATGATTGACACAATACAGAAAAACATGTTAACAAACATAGAAACAAATTGAAGTTAACTACATTATGATCTTTCAAAACTTAAACGATTACACACAAAATTCTGTTAACTTGAACACACTAACAATTATTTTGAAATACTATTCTAACTACACGATATTTATTTCTTTTTGGGTGCATTCTTGCAAGATCTTTTGTTATGTCATTCACCTCCACAGTTGTCACATGACACCTTGTACTTCTTTGACTTTAGTTCATCATATGTTTTGTATCTTTCCTTTTGAGGTCTTCCTGACTATTTTTTCTCTCCCGTAGGTGGATTTACTACTTCATCAGATCTATGTTGTGGCACATTCCATTTGCTTTCATCGGGAAGGGGATTTACTGATATTTCATAAGTACGCAGCAGGCTCTCCCTTGTGTAATATGGAGAGCAATAGTTTTCATAAGTTTCATTCCTGTGCCTTAGAGCTGCCAAAGCATGCGGACATGGAAGTTCATCAAGTTGGAACTGGCCACCACTATATTTCTTGCTTTCAAGACACACAATGTACCGCTTCACACCATCTATCACAGTATGGATATGATCTGTTGAAGCTCTCACCTACAATTACATAACAAACAGAAAGAAAAATATTTACAATCATAAAAATAGATTATCTACAATTTATCTACAATTATATCTACAAACTATCTACAATCTACAAATTAACTATAATTTGTCTACAATTTATCTACAATCTGGAAACAATATATATTAATTAATTAATTTTCTGCACCAAATAAACAGATCTTACCCTAAGTTTCTGAGATAATGTACTGTTTTTCTCCAATTCTTTGTTGAATTTGTACCCAAGGTATGTGAAAGTACCATTTGCCTTCAATAACTTCTCTCCAACGTTCAAGAAGTGTCCTCATATACTCTAATAGGTCAAATATTGGCAGCTCTCTTGCCTCTTTTGTTACAGCATTCAACGACTCGGCAATGTTTGATGTCATAGTCCAAGTTCTATTCACCGTTGCATGTACTCTTGACCATCTATGATAGCCAATATCATAGAGGTATGATTTAACACGCGGGTATATCTCTTCAATCTTCGACATCATTTCATTAAATTCATCCAGAGTGTATGACCCTGCTGTAGCAAAGTACAATTCATTTAATTGTAGATGACCCTTCTTGAACTTTGCCCTTATATTTGTCCAAATATGCCACACGCAAGAGTAGTGTGGCACGCCCGGATAGGAAATTGATGTTGCCTTCAGGATACTCTCATTCCTATCTGAAACAACACACATTGAAGTTCTTTCACCATATGCTTGCTTGAATTGCTCAAAAACCCACTTCCACGATGCATCGTTTTCCGAATCAACCATAGCATATGCCAGGCAATATTGTACCTACATTATTAGTAAAAAAATAATTAATTGGTAGATTTGAAAATGCATATGAAAACACAAATACATATAAAATACAATATGTATATATANTTGTCTTTAAGAATGTCTCATCAACCACTACTACTGGTCTACAATATTCCCAACCACTTATTGATATACAAAGAGCAACAAATGCATATAAGAAGCATTCATCTGTTGTCTTCTTCAATTTAACAACTGAACCAGGATACGTCTTCTCAAGAATATAAAAATATTTTGGTAATTTGTTGTAGGCGTTAGCCGGATGACCTCTCAATAACTGTAAAGCCTTTTCCTTTGTCCTCCATGGTTGCATGTAGCTTAGGTTCACTCCGTGTTGGACAACGTGTCAGTTTGTATGTCCTTTGGTGTGTAAATTGTCTTAGGATCACAACACTTTGGCATGACCATGCTACCAACTACAACTGCAATACGGTTGCGCTATATGAATGTATCGTTCATATAGGTGCATGTGTGTTGTCGGTTGAAACTCATGATCTTGAACATTACAGAATCATTAATTGATGTTGCCTTGAAGTGCCAATTACAGTTTTCTGCAACGCATATGAGCCAGTAGCTACAAAAAAATACATTTATAATACAGGTTATCAATGTAGATTTAACAAAATGATTGTTTTAACATAAAGTAACACACTATACAATATAACTACTTTTCATCTACATATCACAAGGAAAATATTGTTTATAAAGGTCTTTTTACAATTAATATCTTCATACCTTCTGTGGCTAGATCTTTTAACCCAAAATTGAAACTTGTGCATGACAAAATAGTGCCTCATTGCAGTTGCAATTGTTTGCTTGTCTTGATACACTTGTCCTTCTTCGATAACACTTTGTGTACCTTCAGTTATTATTTCACTTTGATATTCCTCTATGACGGGAGAGGCTGGCATATCAAGTAACTGTATTGTCTCAGACGAACCTGCATGAAAATAAAGATAAACTGTGTCATATACAATTTTGTAGAATCTTTGTAGATAAACTGTAGATGAATAGAAAATTTTGTAGTCAATTTTTTTTCAACATGTATTGTAGCTTAATTGTAGTATAAATGTAGTAATTTTGTTGATAAGCATGAAAACAATATTGTTTTATACATCCTAAAACTGATTTGTAGTTTATTTGTAGATAAATGTAGGAATTTTGTAGATATTATCGTAAAATCAAACTTCCATAGAATTTGAAACATAACAAACATGCACTTGTGTTCTCATTTGTAATAGCCAATTCCATATTGAAATCTCGTACACTTATGAGTAACGGATATGATCCTAAGCTTTTATTCTCCTTTTTTGTCTCCATATACACACTAACCCCATATTGTTCCTAATATCCATTGGAGGACAATTCTCATTCACAATGTATTTGATTTTTACAATTTTTTCCGAAGTATCAATCATTAATTGCTCTGCAATTGTAGAAATCAACATACTGTAACTTGCATCATCATCAAGCACAATGCCATCAACTTGAAAATCTCTAAATCTGCCATAGCTATCCCAATTGCCATTAAAATGTAGCATGATTGGGATTTTAGACATGATTGCGTGTCGTTGCTGAGGTATTGTTCAATATTTTGTCGCTTTTTTTATTTTTTGGATTAAGAAAAAAGACGAAGAACAGAGAATCGGCAGAATTGATTTCTACAATTTGACTTGAATTTGTTGAATATTTTGTCGCTTTTTTGATTAGTGGATTGAGGAAAAAAGTCGACAAACTGAGATTTGCAGAACTGATTTCTACAATTTGAAATTGAGCTTCTGATTTCGACGAACTGAGATTTTGATTTGTAGCGATTGCGAGAATATCGAAGAACAGAATTTGATTATAAATTGAAGATAAAGAATTTTCGTGATATGATTTGATCTGATTTACGCCAAATCTTTTTAGAAGATTCTGTTCCTGAATTTTAGCTCGATAAATTAGGAAGATTCAGCTACTATTAATTAGTATTTAGTGATTGGTATAATAACTGTAGAAAAAATGTGGACAGGGCGGGTAAATTAAAAACTATGCACATTTTTGGTAATAAGGTTTCATATATGATATAGGAAAGAAAAAATCTCAATTGAAAAACAAAGGAAGTGGAATAAATAACAAGCTCTAACTTTTGCCCTGATTTAAGGCATATGACAATATTACTTAATTGATTGAATACAGTACTGTTACTCACAGGTCACAATCAAAGCTGCCCATGGGAAAATAGAAAAGTCATAGTTCCACCATTCGGCAGAGACATGATTACTGGAAGCACACCTGCTTCTGTCTTTGCAAAAAAAAAAGTACAATGTATCTTGCTTTTGTTTTTCACGTAACAACCAACTTCATAAATAGAAGGGGAGCGTTGGTGTAACTGGTAAAGTTGTTGCCATGTGACCAGGGGGTCACGGATTCGAGCTGTGAAAACAGCCTCTTGTAAAAAAGCAGGGTAAGGTTGCGTACAATACACTCTTGTGGTCCGGCCCTTCCCTGGACCCCGCGCATAGCAGGAGCTTAGTACACCGGACTGCCCTTTTTAACCAACTTCAGAAAGAAACATCAACAGGACAACAATATCTATTTTTCTTAAACTAATACGTAAACAAGTCTTAGTATTGCCATTTATGGAAGCAGATATCACCAGCCCCATTATCCCTTATGGAAAAATTAACCACAAATTGGTTCTATTAATCTGACATGCATGAGAAACTAGGTTAGAAGACACAGTTTCAGCAAGAAGAAGTAAATCACCTCACAATTACTATTTACTCACAGACTGCTGTCGGATTACTGAGAATGGCTTTCGTAACCAATAACATTATTTTGAGAACTATTCGTTTTTCGCTTTTATTTCTTTCCTCATCTACAAGTAAAAAAATCAAGTAACTAGATCATGAAGAGAGAACAAAACTAGCTTATGCGACAACTACCAGTACATGGACTACATACGATTAGACAAGGAACCAGAATCTCAGTGGCCAGAGTTGAACCTGGTAAATCTTGATCCCAGAACATCAATGGTGATGAAGTGCTAGAGGCCTACGGCTTGTTGGCTTTGCTTAGCCCTCATTGGATCCAGGTTGCCATATGGTTATTTTTTGGAATTTAGGAGTTCTCCCTGGCCAGTTGTTAAAGGTTCACAACTAACAACCTGCAAGGCACAAAAAAACATAAAATCAATATTTAACAACATTTTCTGAAAATGAGAGGATGAATGCCAGTCTAGTTCTGCTTGGGGTCCCAGAATAAAAAACAAATCATTGATACCTAACTGGCAAATGCCCACCACAACTCAAGAGAAAAGAGGGGGAGAGGGATTCATCACAAAAATTTGATTGGATCTCTAATCTTCTTCATTCCTTCCCATGACAATAACTAGAATAAAAAAAAAGGGGAATGTCAATGCATCCACCGATTCACTGAGTGACTTTTTCTTACCGCTGCCCTTACGTCCCTATCTCTTAAAGCCCTATCAGACTTCCCTTGCCGATTGAAGAAAGCCTTGTATGGCTTCAAACAAGATAGGATACTGTCCACTAGATTAGGTCAAGTGATTAGCAAGACAATAGAGAACCCAATAGAAATTAAAATCAAAGAATCAATTATTCATGGTGCTGGATAAAGACCAGACGTGAGCTGTGCACAAGAACTTAATATATGCAAAATGCCACACCAATGCTAAACAAATAATCTGCTTAATATAGCTCTGGCGGACTGCAGATAATACTACATGGATGAATGCATCTTACGAGATGAAGGAGCTTGTTAAAAACAAATCCCATCACATTAGCCAATGCATCATCAAATTAATGCCCCATCATGACAAGGAAACACTGTTTCTCATCATTACATATCATAAAGGTTGATGAACAAAGCAAAAAGGGACACCGTGGAAGAAATATCAAAAGGTAAAGAATCAGAAAGGAGTCCACTAGTTCTTACAACCGCACATTGTGAAGCTTAAACTAAAAGACCATTAGACCATAACAACATAGCAAAAGACTACAAGAAATGAACACAGGAAGTGACAAAGTTCAGTATTCACATCTGGGACCTTGCATTGCATCATATTCTCTTGATTTCCAAAATAAGAATTGTTTACTCAAATTAAATAGCACATCGTTTCAGTTGAATTTGAACCAAAAGACAATTCATATGTATACTAACATACCGTTCTCATAATACATAGTGAGGATAAAAAACCAATGAGAACTGTACTGGGAGAATGGTAGAACTATAACTAAGGAACCGAAAGAGAAGAAGGTGCTTAGTCTACCTTGGGAGATCATCACAGAAGACTTGCCATTGGTATTGGTTAACTGCTGAAAGAAACTTCCTAGTGCAACTGAAAATGCAAGCTTACATGTCTGTTAGTAATGTACTTTCAAGGTTTTGCACCTCTCAAGCACAAAGAAGAGAGAGAAACAAAAGCACCCCGCTAAAGTTTTTCACAAAACTAGTGAAAGCGTTCTTCAAACTCACGTTAGAAAAATGTAAGATGAAAAGAAACCCACTCACACGTTCTTCAATCCCACAAGATTGCAAGAAGCGTTGAGTAAGCGAAGAAGAGGAAACAAAAGAGTCAATCACACTTTTTAAGCTAATGGTCAAAGAAACTAATTAATCACGTTTATTTTCAGCATATTGAGCCCTTTAAATAGGTCTTAGAATGAGTAAAATTGGTAAGGTTAAGGAAAACTAATCCTAATTAATCTAGAATAAGAATAAGACTAAGAAAACCTATCCTAACTAAAATAGGAAAAAAAATTCTAGTAGGAATAGACTACCAACTAACAATCCTAGTTTGACTAAAAATATAAATATAGTACTACTAAAACAAGAATCAAATTACTAGGAAACAAGAAATAAGAAATCCTAATCTTTATAGAACAGAAATTCTAATCTTCAATGGATTCTTGGACTTCATGAATTTCTGGATTCTCGACCTTCTTGAGCTTGTATCATCCCCCTGGTTGAAAAAGACTCATCCTCGAGTCTACCAGCTTCTGTAGATGGTGCATGATTTGCTATAGTAAAGAATAGGGACCCAATGTTCACCAAGTTTCAAATTACATTTTGCTAGCTTATCATATAGCTTTTTCTTTCTTTCTTTCGTTCTTCCTTCCTTCCTTCCTTTTTCTTCTTCTCCTTTTTTTTTGGGCTCTGTTTTTTCAATTCCTTCATGGGCAAGAGGCAGAGAGCTTCATTTCAAACCTGAAATTTCCTCCTTTTTTCAGTTATAGAGTAGAATTAATTGCATATTGACTTGATAATTTTTTCCTATAAAACAGTATTGAAATGGCGTCATCCGATGGTAATAAAGAAATGATATAGCTTGGAATTATGCTATACAAGGCTCATCAAGATCCGCAATTAAATGTGTNGAGGCTTAGATGGTTCGGGCACGTGCGGAGGAGAAGCCTTGATGCTCCGGTGAGGAGGTGTGAGCGGTTGGCCGTGGTNATGCTGGGTACGAGAAGAGGTAGAGGGAGGCCTAAGAAGTATTGGGGAGAGGTGATCAGGCAGGACATGGTACGACTGCAGATTTACGNACATGGTGGTATAATTTGGCACAAATAACATTTGATTGGTGAATGTAAAAATGTAGTACAATGCCCTCTTTGTCCGCCTGATCTCAGGGAGGAAGTAAAAGCATTTGTCGAGAAGAAAAATGTAACAAGAACTCAAATGAGTTATGAAGCATCGGTGCATCTTATTGATGAAGAGAATGAAATGAGACCCCAACCNCTGAAGCGGGGTTAGATTAAGGTTGATCTTAGATGGTTTGCAGTTTATGTTGAATCCACACTATCCTTGTTGTTTATCTTAGCCTCGGGCCTTAATTACTAGTTACTGTTATTGCATGTCATTTATCTTTTGGTTGTTATGCTTCTGTTACTATTACGGTTTCTACTGGAGTTACTAATGAATTGTCTTTTCTTTTCTGAGCCGAGGGTCTATCAGAAACAGCCTCTCTGCCCTATCGGGGTAGGGGTAAGGTCTGCGTACCCATTACCCTCCCCAGACCCCACTTTGTGGGATTTTACTGGGTAGTTGTTGTTGTTGTTGTTGTATATCTTCAAATAGTTCTAGTGGGTCATCCACGTCGCGTACGGTCACAAAAGGTCCTTTCAATCTTTATTTCTCGGGAAACAACAAGAAAAGAGAAAAGGTGATTATGGTTCAGGTTTAGAAGCCAAGAAGATTTTGAGGGATCGCCTCGTAAGTGCTTTTGCAACATGGATGTACGATGCAGGGCTCCCTTTCAATTGTCTTGACTACAAAACTTTTGATAAATTCATTGAGGCCGTAAGACAATATGATCCAGGAATGAAGCCGACTAGCTATGATGAAGTTAGAGTAACTCATCTTAAAAAAAGATGTGAAGAAGATAGACAAGATTGTAGAGGAGCATAGAGTGGAATGGAATAAGTTTGGATGTTCCATTAGAATGGATAAATGGACAGCATGGAATGAAAAAATGGTCATAAATGTGTTGGTGACTTCTCCAAGAGGTAGTGTTTTTCTTGAATCTTACGATGCTAGCAACTCTTCTATGGATGTAACCAAAATGTACAACTTGTTTGCAAATACTATAGAGAAAGTTGGAACGAAAAATGTTGTACAAGTTGTTACCGATAATGCTAGTGAGAATGTTAGTGGGGTAAGATGATGCAAAGTGTGTATCCACACATTTATTGGACTCCATGTGCTGCCCATTGTAACAATTTGATGTTTGGTGACATATTCAAGGAAAAAACCATATGCTTCAGGCAACTTTAATATAGTTATCTTTAAAGCTTTAACTTTATTTATACTTATGTCCTATTAAGTATTAACTATAAAATTGTTATTGTTACTTTTACAGTTTTCACTAAGGCCGTCAAAATATATTCTTACATCTGTCAGAGGTCATTATTGTTGAACTTGATGAGGAAATTCACCAATGAAAGAAATTTGGTGAGACCGTCCAAGACTAGATTTGCAACGGTTTTCTTAACTTTGCATAGTTTTTACTTGCAAAAGAAAAACTTGAGAAAGCTAGTTCTTTCATGGAAAGAAAATAAATATGCAAAGGAAGCTGCGAGGAAAGAAACTGCAAAAATTCTTATTTCTCCATCATTTGGAATGACGTTGTTCGGGCTCTTAAAGTTGGTGATCCTTTGATTAGGGTACTTTGTATGGTGGGTGGAGAGAGAAAACCACCAATGGGTTATCTTTATGAAGCGATAGATAGATCCAAAGAAACTATTGAAGCGTCATTTGAGGGAGATCTGAGGAAATAGGAAAAAGTTTTTGAGATTATTGATAGAAGGTGATCGGATCAACTCCATCGACATTTGCATGCAGTAGGCCATATTTTGAACCCGGGATTGTTTTACAAGGATAATAGAGATGGCACTTCAGATTCAGAGTTTTGGGTTGGATACCATAAATGTATTGTGAAGTTGGTCCCCGATGCAGCGGTATTAAATCAAATTAGAGGGGGGAGAGTTTGGTAAGTACACACACGCAGATGGCCTATTTGGTTTATAGGCGGCTATTAGCGCCAGAGACATAAGGTCGCCAGGTAACTAACTTTAATATAGATATCCTTATAGCTTTAATTTAATTTATTTGATTTATCTATACTTATTAACTTTTAAAATATTTTTCTATAGCGGAATGGTGGATGCAATTTGATCATCAAACTTGCAAAACTTGCAAAAGTTGTTGTCAAAGTACTACGCTTAACTTGTAGTGCATCTGGATGTGGGAGAAATTGGAGCGTATTTGAGCATGTAAGAAGCAGATTTATTTATATTAATATATTATATATTGTATTATTACTACTCCCTCCGTTTCATTTTAGATGAGGTAGTTTGAATCGGCACGAAGTTTAAGAAAAAAGAAGAAGACTTTTGAAACTTGCGGTCTTAAAAGCTTAAGGGGTAAAAAGTTTGTGGGGACATGACATTTGTGTGGCTATAAAAGCTTTTCATTAAGGGTAAATGGGTAAAATGAAAGAGTTTAAAGTTGAATTATTTCCAAATTTAGAAATGTGTCATTTGTTTTGGAACAGACTTAAAAGGAAAGTACTTCATCTAATATGAAACGGAGGGAGTAGTATCTATTAATTACTCTCTACAACTTATGCGCGGATTCACTCCAACGAAAAGGAATAGGCTTGAGTTATCGTGTCTCAATGATCTAGTGTATTTAAAATACAATAGAACATTGAAGCATCGTTATGACGCTCGCGATACCATTGATCCAATTTTGTTGCATAACATTGACGAGGCAAATGAATGGTTAACTGGGACCTCCCCCAAAATCATGAAGATGAACACGTGTATGTAGGAGATGATCTCGATTGGGGTACTGTTTCTATGGCAGCTGGAGTTAAGGAGAATATCTATGGTCTTAGAGGGAGTTCTTCACGTTCAAATAACAAGGGAAAGGGAGTAGCTACAAGTTCAAGTCGGTCACTATTTGATGAAGACTCCGAGGATGAAGAAGATGATAGCCAATATAATGCTAACATTTTTGAAATTCAAAAATTTGAAAATCTTGAAGAAGAATAGATGTTGCTTGTTTTAGTTTATGAATCTACTATGACTATCTATTGAGTTTTAAATTTTTGAATTGATATATTTATTAATATATTATTGCTATTATATTTTTAGTATATTATATATATAAAATTTTAACATATTGTCGTTTCACATCAAAAAGGTGAGCGCTTCGCTTCTCGCCTCTCGCCTCAGTGAAGCGAGCCCTCGTCGATATTTGTCGCTCACACTATCCAAAAAACTAATTATGGTACATTTGGACATCATGAGCGGATTGATATTGCTATGGCCCGAGGTTTATGTTGTACGATTATTGATGTGGAACGAGATTTATGTCGTGCAGTTATTGTTGTGACACAAGGTTTAAGTCGTGCTTATTGTTGTGGCACAAGATTTCTGCTGTGCAGCGTGTGGATATGGACCATCCCTTGGGATCGCCCTCCCATGTTTTTCTCTTGGTGGCGTACACGCAGAGTTTGTGAGACACTGATGAGTGTCAAATTATGATGGTATTGGTTGTGAGTTGGGCGTAAAGGGGGAAGCTTAAATTACATAAGTGAATTATTTACGTCATATCATGCATTGACATTCTAGACTCACGTAGAAACATGCATGTATATCATCGATATATGCACATTCATGCAGTTCATATATGCATAGGACTTAATAGTGGATAGTTGCACACCTGGAGAGTGTCGGATTCATAAATATGTTAGTCTTCATAATGCATAGACATCTTAGACTCATGCAGGATCATTCGTATAGTTTCTATTTAGGAATTGATGCGAAATTTGGTCTCTATCATGCACAAACACTCTACATTCACGTAGAAATATTCTGAGTAAAGCTCCTTCGTACAAATCTCATTTATATGTTGATTTAGTGCATTTGTATATGCTTTGATTTGGTTATTTAAAAAGCATGTTTATGACCTTCTTCTTTGATCGAGCACCTTATCATTGATATCAGATGTTCCTTGGTTGTCTCTTGGCTATTTTTCTGTTATTGTATGGTTTATGAGCTACACCGTAATATAACGTGAGTATTTTTTGACTAAACTTCGCCACTACTTCGTTGAGGATAGTCTTGATTATTGAATACATGGGGTCGATACCCTACGTGCAGATTTTGGAGTTGAGCTGTTGTGGAAGTCGAAGGCTAGAATTGAAGATGTAATGGCGTTCCAGTTGTAATCTACCATTTTGTTCATGGTAGTTTAGGACAACGTTGCAATCCTAATATTAGTCGCTCGTGACTTGTACTACTAGTTCTTGGGATAGTTTGTATTAATCTTTGCGTTCTTAATTTATTATTTATTTGATGACTTCAGTTTGAAATTTGAACTATGTTTATGTTGGTTGGCTTCCCTAGCGTGTTGGGTTAAGCGCCATTACGATCCTGTTGGGACTTGGGTCGTGACACATGAACAAAACCTAGTTGTGCACATAGCATCTGGAAGGCTGATTTTGTCAGAATCCTTTATCAAACAAGTTCATAATTTGATTGGTAGCTCTAATAAAAGAATACTCCTCAACTCACTGATTCAGTGTGGGAAAAGAAGATTTAGGGCATTCAAATGCTATTCCCTTGGTAGTTCCCAAGGCATTTTGACTAACAATACATACACAAGGCTAAGCTGGCTTTCAGTTCCCTGGCTTAAACAAAATTGATGCTCAAAAACAACAATGATCTAACAAAGTTTCTTTCTCCCAAAATATAGCTTGGAAGTTGAACATCCTCAGGCAATCTGCAGGAACTAAGTAGGACTCTTCCTAAATCCCAGTTTTCATCTAAGTTGCTCCGACATGTCAGTTTAGGTGCCGCACCCGTGTCGACACGACACTAGTATGGGTGTGGGTATAGGGGATTTGGTCAAACAATTTTGGGTACTTTGACCACGACGGACGGAAAAATTTGAGACGAGATGCAATTTGATTCCCGAAATCATAACCAAAACTAGAGTAAATTTTAAGAAAATAGCATACCTTATCTAAGAAATCAATTCTTTACTTATCTACAACTTGAAAATTAAAAAAAAAAAAAATTGCTTTACAAGCTATATGTCAGTATTCCATAAAATTTCTCATAATTTAGAGATATTTTTATATTTTTGAATTATTTGTGGTGCCATCCAACTTATTGTCACCACAAAGCTGTACTCAAATATAAGATTGAAAAAATATTTGCAATACAGCAACTTCACAAGTTACTGACAGAACAGTCTCGGACTTGCCCATAGGGTTTACTAACAGAATTCTATAGTTAGGATGAGCACCAGCACCCTATTATATTAGTAACAGAAAATTCAAAGTAACTTGCCAAACAGAGTAAATTTGAGACAATGATATGCAGCATAACAAGATATTAGTAACAGAAACTCAAACTTGCAGAAGAAGCCATATGTTAACATTGGGACAAAATTAAATTCAATTTTTAGATCACTTAATAGCATTCAACAAGAAGAATAGAAAGCACAGATTGCTAACATTGGGACCAACATTAACAGAAGCAAAAGTGTAGCATGGAAAGAATGCCAAAACAAAAGAACCAAACATATGCTGAAAGAAAGAAAAAAAGAGCATACCCTTTTTCTCTTCTTTTTCTTTCTACTCAGTATCTGAAGGCAAATGCGATGAATCGACAGGACCGTCAACTTCAAGCGTCAGATTTTGTAACCCAGGCTTCAATTCCTTATGGTAAAACTCCTCGTACTCCACTCTGTCTCCTGCTTTCTTCTTCACCTCAACAACTCTCAAAGATGGTGTCAACTCAAATATCTCAGCTGCAATAGTCAAAGGTCCCTTTGCACCCTCCTTAGACCCCTCCAAACTCACTCTACAATCCTTCTTCCTCACTGCAAAGCTCACAACTTTAGCAATTTCTTCTAATTTACTTATGATCTTAGGCACCGGAGCCCCCGATATAAACCTCCCTCCATCCTCTCCATCATCAAACAAACCAGACAAGTCAAAACTACGCGAAAATGAAATGATATCAAATGCATTCAAACTAGCAGGCCTAGGCAAACTAGGCGGCTTCCTTCTTATCTCCATTTCAGACTCTGACTCTGACAGCTCAGACGAAGAATCAACTCCTTCTTTATCATCCACATCATCATTTATGCTACATAACTTGTCATCCTCTATATAAAATTTCACATGTTTAAACCCCTTTTTGAACCACCTATTGTTCATTATCTCCGGAATTGTGATCCGCCTTTCAGGATTTGTATCAAGAAGTCGAGTTAAGAAACGAGCCAATTCAGAGGAAAACCATCTAGGACATCTAAATTCACCTTTGTAAATCTTCTTATACATAGCCATAACATTCTGGTCATGAAATGGTAAGTACCCTGCCATTAACACAAAAAGTATGACCCCACATGACCAAATATCAACTTTAGCCCCATCATATCCTTTCCTACCCAAAACCTCAGGTGCAACATAAGCAGGGGTACCACAGAAAGTATGGAACAACCCGTCTTGCTTTATCTGTTCAGAAATAGCACTTAGACCGAAATCAGACACTTTAACATTCCCATCTTCATCTAATAATATATTTTCTGGCTTTAAGTCTCTATGGTACACCCCACGGGCGTGACAAAATGCCACTGCTGAAATTAATTGCTGGAAATATTTTCGAGCAACTTCTTCTTTAAGCCTGCCTTTAGCAACCTTATTGAATAACTCTCCACCTTTCACATACTCCATCACGAAATAGATTTTGGCTTTGGTTGCCATAACTTCGTATAATTGAACAATGTTTGGATGCCTAACTCTTCTCAGGATCGAGATCTCGCGTTTTATGTGGGCAATTAGTCCTACTTTGAGGATTTTTTCTTTATCAATCACCTTTATGGCTACGCACTCGTTGGTTTTGATGTTCCTAGCAAGGTACACTTTTGCAAATGTACCGTGGCCTAGTAATTTCCCAATTTCGTACCGACCCAATATAAGAACTTGATTTTCCTTCTTGCTGTTGCTACTGGAGCTGCTGCTGGTGGTGGCCATGGGTTGGGCAATTGAAAGGATTATTATGCGTTAAAGATTGGAATATACGAAAAGGGATTTGTAAAGTCCACCTTATTGTTGTGTTTGTGGAGGAGCTTCCGCCACGGAAAGTGGGAGGGAGCTATGGTTGTTTGTGGGTTGTCGTGGTGTTGTAGGTAGCTCCTCGGATGTTGATTTTCAGGTTTTTAACAGCTTGTTTGATGGTTGTTCCTCCTTTGTATCCTATTTTATTATTCCACAACAATATTTGTTTTGATTGTTTCATTAAAATTAATTGTATTGTATTATTAATTTTATTGTTCCGAACAATAAAAAGTCCCATTTTTTAAAATAACTGATTTGGTGTGGTGGAATTATTTCCTATTTTTCTTTCCAATTATGTCCTAACTTATTATTCTACAATTCTATTTTACCCTTTATCTTTTTTTCTATTTTAACTCCAAATCTTCGATCTATAACCTACTTTATTTTTTTCCAGACCAATGTTAAAAGTGTTTTGCCACCTTCTATTTTATTTTTTCTCCTAATTTGCTTTTAACTCGATTCTAATTAGTTGTGCTCCTTTGTTTTGCCTTCTTCTGTCTCGCTCATTTGTTCTGCTTTCTTAAGGTATTTTGCATTCTTCTGTTTTGTTTCTTAAAATTATTTTTATATATAATTTTTTATAAATTTAATATTTAAATAATTGAGTGTATTTTAGTAAATTTATCAGTTACAGTACAGTACGATACAGTCAAACCAAACAACAAAATATTATTTAACAATAACAAACAATACAATCTATCCAAACATTATATTCATTAAATGGTACGATACAATACGATACAACACAACACAATACATTATAAACCGATGTGGAACAATGATCCAAACAGAGTGTTAGGTAAGACAAATGATTTTGAGAAAAAGAAAAAAAGGGTAACACGAAAAAGAATGTTATTATCTTTTTTATATTTAAAAATAATTTAACTTTAAATTTTTTTATTTTTCTTTAATAAGATCTATATATTATTAAAAGCCAAAAAAATGCACCACATTAAGCCAAGTGAAAACCTAGAAAAAAGTCACATGGCATAATTAGTTATTTAGTTAAAAATTAGTTATTGGTTATTATTTATGAATTTAAATATCTATAAATTTCTAAAATAAGAAAAAATAAAAAACTACCCATTCAAAATGGGGAGTAGCTTCTTCCTAATATAGTAGTTTATATATATACATATATAAACTTAAAGGTGTCAAACGGGCCGGGCTGACCCGGTTCCGGACCGGACCGGCCTGGATAGATAGTAAGGGGCCGGGCAGGGCTGGGTTGGGACGGGAACTGGCATGTGCTGGGTAGATTGTTTATACCGGTTAACCGGACCGATACGATCCAGTAAGGTCATGTCAGTTAGGAACCATTTAACTGGCCCGGACCGGCCCAGACGATTCAACGGCTAGTAATTTATAGTCATACAAAATTTTGACTTATTTTAGACCATAAATTTTAAAAGTCTATTTTTATTTCTTAAACTTTTTAACCAGTCAAACTAAATCACAAAAAAAAGGCACAGGGATTGTTATATTTGGGGTTCCCCGATAATGGGGTTGCGACACGGATCGATGAGATTCTTTTTTGCGAGAGGGAATGGGGGTGAGTGTAGCGGCTGGGTAGGGTTGTCGGAGATGGATTAGATTGTACACTTTTACAGCTGAAAAGCTTAGGTGATCTAAAAAATAAAATAACTAAATTGGCCCCTTTACTATGCTCGGGTATTAAGGGAGAAGTTGTCGGCCATGGGGGCCTGGAGAAGCAGTGTGGACGCGAGTTATATGTGAAATACAACCACAGACTACATTAGGGAAGCTGCTAGAGAGGTATTAGGGGTCACGAAAGGCTACCCGGAGGGTCACAAAGGGGATTGGTGGTGGGATGAAGAGGTCCAAGGAAAAGTGTAAGCCAAGAAAGCGGCGCATGTGAAACTAATGGAGAACGTCGATGAGAAGAAAAGGAGGACGAATAGGGAGTTTAATAAGAAGGCCAAGAAAGAGGTAAGTTAGCGGTCACGGCTGCCAAGAATGCAACATTTGAACGCTTGTATGAAGAGCTGGGGTAGGGTGAGGGGGAGGCGGTGACAAGAAACTATTCTGGTTAGCCAAGGCTAGAGAAAGAAAGTCTTAGGATCTGGACCAAGTGAGGTGCATCAAAGACGAGGAAGGTAAGGTCTTGGTAGAGGAGGCGTGTATTAGGTGTTTTTGGCAGACTTACTTTCATAAACTCTTGAACGAGGATGAGGATAGGATCATTGAGCTTGGGGAGTTGGAAAGCTCAGAAAGCCAATGTGATTTTGGGTTTTGTAGACGTATTAAAGTTGAGGAGGTTATACAGAAGATGAGTAGGGATAGGGCGACCGGACCACATGAGATTTCGGTGGAATTTTGGATGAATGTAGGCCGTAAAGGCTTGGAGTGGCTTACTGATTTGTTTAATGTTATTTTTAGGACAAAGAAGATGCTCGAAGAGTGGAGACGGAGTTTGATGGTCCCGTTGTACAATAACAAGGGTGATATTCAAAATTACAATAACTATAAGGGTATCAAGCTACTGAGTCACACCATGAAAGTTTGGGAGAGGGTGGTGGAGAGGAGGGTGAGGATGAGTGTTTCTATTTTGGAGAACCAGTTCGTATTCATGCCAGGACGGTCGACTACATAAGCCATTCACATGGTAAGGAGGTTGATAGAGCAGTATAGAGAGAGGAAGAAGGATTTGTAAATGGTGTTTATTGACTTAGAAGAAGCCTACGATAAAATCCCTAGGGAGGTTTTATGGAGTTGTTTGGATATTAGTCGTGTTTCGATGGCGTGCATTATGATGATTAAGGACATGTACAATGGAGTTAAGACTCGTGTGAGTACAATGCGAGGAGACTTGGATTACTTCCTAGTGGTAATGGGGTTGCATCAAGGATCGGCTCTTAGCCCATTTTTATTTGCCCTAGCGATGGATGTGCTGACGTGTTACATTAAAGGAGAGGTGCCATGGTGTTTGTTATTTACAGATGACATATTGTTGATTGACGAGACGCGTTGTGTGGTTAATTCTAGGTTAGAGGTGTGGAGACAGACCCTAGAATCTAAAGGTTTCAAGTTGAGTAGGACGAAGACAAAATACTTAGAGTGTAAGTTTATTGTTGGGGCTCATGAAGCAGAAGTGGAAGTGAAGCTGGATACACAAGTTATCCCTAGGAGAGATAGTTTCAAATATCTTGGGTCTGTGATACAGGATAATGGGGAGATCTACGAAGATGTCGCACATCGTATTGGAGTGAGATGGATAAAATGGAGGCTCGCTTATGGTATTTTGTGTGACAAGAATGTGCCACCTAGACATAAGGGAAAGTTCTATAAAGCGGTAGTTAGACCGGCCATGTTTTATGGAGCTGAGTGTTGGCCAATTAAGAAATATCATGTCTAGAAGTTGAAAGTAGCGAAAATGAGGATGTTAAGATGGATGTGCGAGAATCGAGGCTTACATGGTTGGAGATGTGAATAGGACATACCTTGGTTCCCCGGTTAGAAAGTGATAGAGGTTTACCGATGCGGGTAAGGGAAGGGGCAGAGGGAGGCCTAAGAAGTATCGGGGTAAGGTGATTAGGCAGGACATTTGCACCCATGTCTAATTACCTTGTTGTTGCTACTATCTATTTATTACTTTATTTTCACTACTCTTGAGTTGAGGGTCTTTTGGAAACAATATCTCTACCGTTGTCGACGCCCCATTTTTTCTCTAACCGTAGGGTCAGAAATCGGGTATATGACATTGGGAGGACAACTCTATTCCCTTTCGAGAATTGGGTTTAGAAGTTGAAGAGTCGCCACCTAATGATTATAGTGCATTAGGACACTTTAAGAAGGGCTTGAGATGAAGAGACCAGAGATTAGGGTAAGGGCTAGAAATTATCCCGAGGGGAAGGTATTAGGCACCCCTCAAGATCCACTAGTATGGTTCCCGACCATGTTACAATTGTGACTTTACAAGTAAACAATCAAAGTTCAAATAAGGACTCGCATATAACATTGCAATTAGGTTAAAAACTTTCGAAGGTAAGTAGAGAGGGCAAAAATTCATGAAAGAGATTTGAACAGTCTTACAAGAAGAGATGAAAGCAAATAAAGGGAGGGGGATCCTAAGTTTATAATTAATATGGATCACTTCAATGCAATACCCAGCGATCACTCCTCGGAAGAGGGGTCGCACGTGATATTAGCGCATCGGTCATCATATCCATATCTACCCTTCCCACCCCGTTAAGGTGTTAAAGCGCGAAATGGTATCGTTACTTATTGCATGCTATTACCTGTCCCAATCCTATCAGTCCCGGAGGCATGTGGGAATACTAATCCTAAAGGGGAGGGAGTTGGGACTTTTGCGGAGTTTCAAAAGGATAAAAATCTAGGCGACAAGCTATAACAGATAGCAGTTAAAAGGGATACAAATAGTAGTTAAGGCTCAAGTCGGCCTCCTTATTCAAAGCAGCAGATTATTTAGCATGACTTACAAATACTGGTTTGGTCTGTATTAAACTTAACGTAGGAAGGGTGGCTAACTTATCACATATTTTCAGATAAGAGGTCCAAATTAGGCCTGCCTGCTGGTTGTAACTATCAAAACTGATGCAATTATAAAATTTTACCCTAAGGTTTGCCTAGGTGTTAAACAGAACCTATAGGCATGATATCTATAAGTTTCAGAAATAAAGAAGTAGACTGATTGCAGAAAAGAATTAACAGTTACAAAAACATAAGTTCTGCAGGTGCTTACGCGTAATTGCTACTGATTTTAGACGAATTGGCGATTCAAGTTAGTTAATAGCTCCTATAGGCATGTTTTCTAAGTGTCACTGATTTTAAACACTGTTTTTAAACACTGTTATTATTATACAGAAATACTATAGGCAGGTCATCTATATGCAACTATATAAAAATGCAGAGTTTCAGTGATTTGTAAAATGCAGAACTTTTAGAGACAGTAATTCCTATAAGCATGATCTCTAGATGGGATACAAAATTTCAGAAATGATAACCCCTATAGGTATGATATCTACGCCTTGCATGCATAGTTCCCTGCCATTTTCTACTAGCTAACCCCAAATGTTTATTACAAGATTATTACATACCAGAATTAATTAAAAAATAAATAAAATACGTCCGAAATCAGAATTCCAACCAAGGAGGGCCTAATTCAGACTCCCAGTCTGACATATGTAGTAAACCAACTTCCAAGGATCCAGGTTCCAAAGCCTTCTCTTATTTGGGATGTGTCAAAGTTCCAAGGAGCTTCAAGAGCTCCAGGCAGTGCTTACACCCCAAACATCATTCCAGAATTACAGTAAAGTGCAGTGCGGAAAAGCCAACCCTCAAATGTCCAAGTTCAGAGGGAACTCAAGGTCCCAAGGCAATGCTCATATGAGAGGGGCAAAACTTAAAGTCTAAGAGTAAGTGCAAGTGCAGGGGAGGGGAAATGATAAGCTGGTGGTCATGCCAAGCAATTTGAAGTGCTGGCACACCCCTGACCAATTTGTCATTTTCAAATTGAGGAGTTATGACTTATTGAAAGCCAGGTTCAGGCCTGGATAGCCATTTAAAGGCTACCAGACCATAAACTTTAACTCAGCATACATAGGGGGTAATGATACGGAATTCATACCAAAAACAGTAAACAAAGGAAGAGGGGGGCAAAGGGCATGATCAGCAATGAAACATACTGACACACTCTTTACTTGGGGTCAAAATTTAGTTCATGGACAACAATTCATGTTGCCATGCCCTGAATCCCCATTTATAAACACATAGAGGGTAAGGGAGTATGGATCAAACATTTGCAGGAAAGTAAAGCGTACAGTAGCATATGAACATGTCAAACTCTGCAGGTAATAGGCATAGATATAAGGACTATAAGTAAACACATTAGGATGATTGCTGGGAACTGAGTTAAGACATACCAGTAAAAGAGCAAGAGTAGGATGCAAAGACAAAGCAGTAATAGTATATTAGCCTTGGCTTTTAGCCGGCTAATAAGAAGGAGCAGAGAACAGCAGTAGAGCAAAAGAGCAAAAGAGAATGCAGATTTTGAAAGTATTCAGTGGTGTGTGTAAGTTAGAAGACTGTTGTCTGTTTTTTGTAAAGACTTAGGGTATTTATAGTCAAAAGTAGGTGGTAAAATAAGGTAAAAATCATGGAAATATGTTAATTGAAGAACTCGGAATAAATTAATCAACGAATCAAGGAAGTACTCCCATTAATTAAGGGAATCAAAATCAAACTAAAAGATTCAGCACCATATAAGGCAAATAGGAAAAATCAGCATAGGATTAAATAAGGAAAGAGTCAAGGTTCAGTATTGCATATAGTAGTCGAGTAAGGCCAAATTCAGGAAAATTCTAATTAAGGAAAGGCTTAAAAGAATAGAGTACTATAACAAATGAGGTAACAAAACCAATTAATTCAAACGGGCGGGTAGAATGTTAGGTTTTTTTTTAAAGAAGTTTTTGAATTACCAATCAATCAAGGAAAATCAGAATCAATCATGTGAAGTCATGATTCTGCATTTTTAACATATAAATAGAGGTAAATGAACAAAAGTAGCGAGCAAAGTTAACTAGGAAGGAACAAGGGATGAACAAACATAACCACTCAGAGATAGTGAAAACAAGTTAAGATTCAGCAAGACATATTCGAAGCATGGTGACTATGAAACATCAACAAGAATCAAGCAAATAGGCCAGCAGGCAGAACCAAAGCAAGGAAAATCAGGCTAATACACACAATCAAACGAGGAAACATGCTAACACATAGAGACAAGACAAAGGAAATTAGGCTAACACAGGTAATCGAAGCAAAGAAACATGCTAACACACATAATCGAATGAAGAAACATTTTCTAGAAATTAGGGTTTTTAGCAGAGTCAAACTAAAAAACAGTAAGAGCATAGAAATCGGTCAGAATAAACAAAGAAAAGGTTTTAATCATAAAGAAAATCAATCGAAGCATGCATAAAAAGAAATCCCAGAAATCCTAATTTCGAAGAAAGTAAAAAAAATGGTTCAAAGCAAAGGATCTTTCAGAATAAACTCGAGAATAAACAGAGCACAGAGGAAAACATGAGAATAGCATGAAATGACACCGTTTTTGAGAGATTCAGGAGAGAGTTAGGGTTTCAAAAAAAAAAAACTAATAGAAGTGGAAAAAACCTGTCGTAACCTCATAGATCATGATATATAGGGTGTGATTTCGTCTGAAATCACACCGGAGAACTCGCATATAGAAGAACCAGGAACCCTAGGTCTCAAATCGCCATGGTCCATAAGCCTCGAAGGTCCTCGAGGTGTTGAACAGGACGATGAGAGGTCCATCGGAGCCTTGGGGTTGAAAGGAGGTGGCCGGAGATGGCCGGGGAGGCGGTGGATTCATCGGAGAGAACCAGAAGGTTCTAGAGGGAAGGGAGACCAAGAGTCAGTATAGAGAGAGAGAGACCGTCTTGGAAATGAGGGGTCTGGGGGGAGGGATTGTTGGGATTTAATTTTAGGAAATAAAATCTGGGCCGTTGATCTCATTTGATCAACGACTCAGATTAGATCGGAACTGGACCGGGTAATTGAATTGGGTACGGGTCGGGTTCCAATTGAAATGGGGCTAGAAATTGGGCCAATTGAGGCTACAATTGAAAGGGAGAAAGGCTGTTATTGAAATAGAAATAGGCTAAGTGTTAAATAGCTATTTCCCCTTTTATTTTATAAAAATAGTAATAATGATTTTAAAAGTAAATTAAAAATACTGAGCAAACAAATACTATATAAATATCAATTTAAAAATAGTGGAACCAGTTTTATAATTATAAAATGCTATTAATCATAAAATAGGCCATAATTGCAATTATATGCAATTAGCTTAAAATGCCAAATAAATTTGTAAAAAATATGCAAAAATTACCTTAATTATATTTTGGTGTAAATACGGGAATGAAATAAGTTATTCACCAAAAATGATAATTTTGAGAATAATTATTGGATTTTGTGGTATTAAAATAGGTAGTAAGTCGGTTTAAAAATCGTTAAAAAATACTAAAATTCTTGGGTGTGCTTATATATGCACATACATGCTATTTTGGAAGTATATTGGGTACAAAAATACCTAGGGAAAAATTGGGTATCAACAGTTTCCCCTCTTTACCCGAGGAGGATGAAAGAGTTGTCGGGTAAAGATAAAATGGCCAATTTTGACCGGAAGCGGCGATTGAAAAGAATTTTGACTGAGATCTGGTTTTTGAGCTGCCTACATATCCCTGGTCTTACAGGAATCAGGTCATATGTAGTTCAGGATCCATTGAGCGGAATATGCCGATGGAGATTTGAAACGGACGAACGCGATGTTTAGATTGAGAGAGGTTTCTGAAAATCGATAGGCTGCGGGAACCGGAGCGAGATCGCTCCTGCTGAGACGGCCGTTGCCAGCCGATGTACCTGTAAGTAAGCAATACGAGCGCATATTATGCGTAAATTTAAACGTGATGCAAGTTCCCATCGGACCATGAATGTTGTCTTTGGACGGTTAGGATAACATCCTCAGACCATGACATCCTGGGTCAGGAAGCGTATAATAAAGGATTCGCAGGCTATGAAATGATGTTCTCGGGCTATGAGAATGATGCCTCCGAACCATGATGCCTTTTAATAATGATATGCAAAAGGTAAAATAGGGGTCCTCAGGCCATGGCATGGCGTTCTCGGGTTATGCAAATGGTACCTCTGAACAATGATGCCTTTGGACAATTTGGCGATCTTTCAGCCCATGAAATGCAGAAGGTGGCGATCTTTCAGCCGATGCGAGATGTAAAAGGTGGCGATATTTCAGCCATGCGAGAGAGATAAGGTGGTGATCTTTCATCCATGCAGGATGGAGACAGAGCTTAGTCTCGGAAGGCAGAGAGGTAGCCTTATGCAATGCAAGAAATGTAGACGGAGACAGATCTTAGTCTCGGAAGGCAGAAAGGTAGACTTATGCAATGCAGGAAATGCAGATGGAGACAGAGCTTAGTCTCGAAAGGCAGAAAGGTAGCCTTATGCAATGCAGGAAATGCAGATGGAGGTAGAGCTTAACCTCGGAAGGCAGAATGGTAGCCTCATGCAATGCAGGCGAAATGCAGATGGAGGTAGAGCTTAACCTCGGAAGGCAGAAAGGTAGCCTTATGCAATGCAGAGAAATGCAGATGGAGGTAGAGCTTAACCTCGGAAGGCAGAAAGGTAGCCTTATGCAAAATGTAGATGGAGGTAGAGCTTAACCTCGGAAGGCAGAAAGGTAGCCTTATGCAAAATGTAGATGGAGGTAGAGCTTAACCTCGGAAGGCAGAAAGGTAGCCTTATGCAAAAATGCAGATGGAGGTAGAGCTTAACCTCGGAAGGAAGAAAAGTAGCCTTATGCAAAATGTAGATGGAGGTAGATCATAACCTCGGAAGGCAGAAAGGTAGCCTTATGCAAAATGTAGATGGAGGTAGAGCTTAACCTCGGAAGGCAGAAAGGTAGCCTTATGCAAAAAATGCAGATGAAGGTAGAGCTTAACCTCGGAAGGCAGAAAAGTAGCCTTATGCAATGCAGAAAATGCAGATGGAGGTAGAGCTTAACCTCGGAAGGCAGATAAGTAGCCTTATGCAGTGCAAAAATGTAAAAAGATGATCAGTAGTAAGATCTCTTAGCTGATAGCCGATTACGATAATATGACTGCTAGGGAGATTGTGTACAGATAGCAATTACGGGCAAGTGATGATTCTGAGAAGTTTCATTCTTGGGAAAGTATGCGTACATAAGTATACCTGACGATATTGCGAGTCGAGTGCCTGCATCCAAAGAAAATCGTGAGTTTTGTGAGGGGAAAAGTTAGTTCGTCTTCCCCAGACTCTTGATGTTGTGTGTCATTGGGGTAGCGTCACTAAACAACAGCAATCCGGATAATAATTATGCATGATTTAGTAAATATAACGTAAGTATATAATAGAAAATAGTTTTCTTTAGATGATCCAACGACTGCGACGTGGTTCAGGACATTGCAACCTCTTT